ACTCTCTCATTTTTCCTTATTGGCATTAATTTTACATAATGCGATTGGTTTATTAATGTATTTCTCTCCTGCTAGAACACAAGCTCATTTGGCTATTCATTTACTGTTCAGAACTCAGAAAAATATACATACTGAGTGTATAATAAATATCTTTATCACACCATTCATCATTTCATTCAAGAGAATGAAAGTAGTCACAAATGCTTGCTGAATTTTTTTTAAAACACCATTTTGTCTGGAATTCCTCCCAATTTCTGTAAGAGTTGAGATGTATCTGACTACAGGGTACAGAGACTCTAATACAGACTTACAGCAAAGGATACTGGATGTTTACTTAGCCATAAGCCACAGGAGAGCATTTCCAAGGTGGGCTTGAGGTTCAATGTCCTCAACCAGGATCTAGGTTCTTCCCATTTTCCCTCAGAACCCTTGAGCTCTTTAGATTCTTCAGGGTTTTTTCATTTTCTTCCCTACATTTTAATCATTAAGCAGTTTCTTTTAGAAATGTTTTCTGATTAAAGTTGTCTTTTGAAATATTTGCTTTCTTAACAAACAGATTTCCTCAATGACTTGTTTACATATGCATTCAGTGTCTGCACTCTAATTCTTTTTCTTTCCAAAGGCACTAAGACATGTCACATTTTCAAAAGAAGAGCAAGCTTATTTGCCCCTTCCTTTCCACTCCTCATGTGGACTTGTTTCTCAATGTATTAGGAGACTCAGAAGCTAGGAAAATTTCATCTGTTCCTTTTATAATTGCCAGTAGCCCTTCACAGGTGCTGAATGTACTTTATATGTCCTTTCTCTTTATGATTAATCAGAGACATGCACGTATTAAAAAGAAGCAATTTGAATCAGGGTTTTAGAGCCAATAAGTACTGGTTATATTACAAACATCTTCTATTAACTTATTTGTACTAAATTTCTTTATGTATTTGCTTCTTGTGCGCATCAGGAAGTCCCAGAACACAGTGTATTTTATTTCCCACTTTGTTCCACCTTTTCCAACATCTTTCATAGAAAGAAAGAAAGAAGCTAGGTTTCTATGGTAACACATGTGTGACAATTGAGGGTATCTGGATATAGGTGAGATAACTCCCTTTCAGATCCAGTGGGGAGAAAACAAATGAAGTTTCTCTCTCTCTCTTCTCCTCTCCCTCTCTTTTCTCACAGAAACATACTTCTGAAACTGCAGAGACCCCACAGTGTCAGTGTATAGTGTTGAGTTTCTATTGTCATAAAGATTTACTGCTCTTGGGGGAAAATTCATTTTCACCTCATCTCTTTTTTGTTTTCTTTCCTACAAAAAATGAAGATATATATTTTTATTTCTAAAATCAAGCCTGGAATAAAGGTTATACAGACACATAAATGAACATGATCAAGGGATCAGGAAATAGACACCCATCTCCCACCCAAATCTTCAAATTCTCTAAATGTCCTCACATCCTTCTTACAGCAGCTAACCTTTTAACCACTATGCTACATACAGCCACAAATCAAAGGAGCCCTTCCATCTCTGCCTCTCCCAGACTCCTCTGGCATCGGCCTGGTCTCCATACCACCAATATCCAAGCCAAAGTAGATACAAAAAATAAACTACTACCCATTGTGTTTCTTTTGCTTTATGGCAATGAAAACTGAGGCCTGTCATATGAGAAACATAAATGGTCGCAATCACTCCATGGGCTGCAGTTTCTACACTTCTCCCTACTGAAAAAGTCAACATGATGAAAGGTCAGGGAAAATAGCTTGAGGAATGTCAAAAAGCTATTATTCTAAGTGGGGTGCTAGGTTGCCCCCTCACTATTTTTGTAACAACTGCTATTAGATGCACTACAATCTAGAGCTTCCCAACTTTGGGGGACCTAGGAATAATGAAAACAGATGCCTAAATTTACCTTGAGATTCCATAACCCCAATGCAAAATTCTCAAAAAAAGAAACATCATGTTATCTTTATCCCTTGCAAAGTGAATGAATTGTCAGTACTACTGTAATGCAAGGTTCAACAAGGGCTGTCATGACCTTTACAGACAGAGTTTGATGATTCTTGACTCAACTTAATCCTCAGCAAGCATAGGAACTTCTTATCATCAAGATGCACAATTTGCAGCTTACAAGAGACAGTCTGTCCTCAGAAAAATGAAGCTGCTACTAATCATAAAAACACATATCAGTTTTACACAAAATATAAAGCTAGGTGAACACTGTATTTACCTATAAGATCCTCTTGAATTATAGCCATTGTTGCTCAGGTATGACATATCCATGTAATCTCTATGTTTAAATTTACTTCTTTACATTACTAGGTTAGATTGAGATATGATTCTTGTCAGTTAACATTTCTGATATTTTATTTTTCTCAGAGTGCTTTCACCACGATTCTGGTAGTTCAGATTTAACTTCTCATAGTTTGTCAATATGTAACCAAGAAGTAATAACTGAATTATACTCCCAGTCCTCATATCCATGGGTTCTGCAACCACAGATTTAACCAATCACAGATCAAATTCTGCATCTGTACCCAATATGTACTGCCTTTTCCCCCTAGTCTTTATGCCCTAAGCCATACAATATAGCAATTATTTGCATAGCATTTACATTCTATTAGGCATTATAAGAAGTCTAGAAATGACGAAGTATAGAGAAAGATGTGTATAGATTATATGCAAATATACCATGTTATATAATCTGCAGATTTTGGGATGTGTGTGTTGAGTATCCTTTCTGAAAACAAACTTCTGGTTATCAGAGACAACTGTATTTTACTGAGGAACAATTGCAATTTATATTTTAAGTTTGACAGGATATTTGTCCTCAATTATTTTAAACAAAAACTTGGTGCGTGTTATACTACAGCAAGGTAATGCAAACATAGTTAGTTATCCACTAACATAATCATATAATGGAGCTATCAGAGCAGGAGGACACTGAAAAATCCGAGTACACCTTTATAGTAATTTGAAAGTTGATAGAAAAGGTGGGAAACATCTGTTTTTTAGAGAAACTCAGATCAAAATCCTCTCTAGGATGACCTTGTGGGAAAGAAGAATGGTGGGTAGGTATACTAGGATCTAACATTAGAACTACAGAAATGTATTGTTCTCAAGAAATGTGAGATAGCAAGGGACACGGCGAGACCTGTTCGAGAAGGAAATTTTTAGAAAAGCTAAATACAGCAACCAGTGATTACAAAAAAAAAAAAAAAAAAAAAAAAAACATAGTCGAGGATGATTGAAGATGTAAAGCTTCTTAAATATGATCGTACGGGAGAAGGTGTGCAACTAAGTTCTAATATCAAAGACACAGTGCTAAATTTTTAGTAGTGAAAGAAAAAAGAGATGTTTTAGAAGGCACGCATGGAAGACCAATGCGACTGCAGCACGGTGCCTCCTAAGGACTGGAAAATTTCTCACCCTAAAGACAAAAGTCCCTGTTTTCTCGATTCAGCCCACATCCCTCAGCACCACTTTCATGCCCATCTTTCAGGCAGAATGCCACAGAGACGACGTTAAAAGCAGAATTCATCACTCTCGCCTGCCAACGCACCCGGTTCCTTTGCCAGAACAGAGCACGGCAAGGAGCCCTTCCATCTCCGCCCCTCCCAGACTCAGCCAGCTTTGGCCCGGTCTCCATACCACCAGCCCCCGGAGGCAAGGGAATTGCGAGTTGTGGTTGGCTCGGCCCAAACCTCCGTCATTCATCAGCTCACCTATGATTGGTTGGCAGAGCGTGCGCAAGAGCAAATGCCCAGGCTGGTGAGGCTCTGGGAGGTGGGTTGGCTGAGTCTAGACTAGGGTTTTCCCCATTGGTTGAAGTTGGTCGGTGGGGGGAACACAGAGCACCGAACATCTCTCTATTGGTTGTGAGTGGTACCATGGGGTGCACAGGCGTGATCTAATTGGTTAGAATGAATCCCAGCTTCCTACTAGATGCCCCCAGCAGGCTGTTGCTATGAGGTATCTCCGAGTCTTCCCGCTGCTGGTGGGAGCTCCGTTTTCCAGGTTTTCCGTGCGCCGGTGGCTGTCAGGGCGTGGGAAGAGCTCGACTTGAGGGTACCGAAAAGGGGCGGGTCTGGAGGACGTCATCGGGCGTGGACCTGGCTTACGTGGTGTCTGGGCGCCCCTGACTAGCTCTAGGGCGTAGGGCCGAAGGGCCCGCTCTCCCCTTCCTCAGTGTCTGGGCGTTTGAAACCAAGCTACATCTCAGTGTTTCACCAGCCTCAGGCAGAGACCTGGAGGCGCTTCTCCTTAAACAAAGGTTCACTTCGTTCTGTTTATACAAGAACGAAGACCCCCGGAATACTCTGGGTGGTGTAGAGCAGGGGCACTCAGTGACTCCCTTTGGACATCGCGCATCTAGTCTTCTCATCTTCCACTCTGGAAGTTCCCATGGCCCCTCTACCTCATCTTCTCTGCCAAATTCTGAGCGTGGGAGTCTCAAATGGACTTTGCCCCTGCCGCAAGCGGGAAGCGCGCACGCGCTAGGGTTTGCCGCGGGTGTGCGGGGTTGGGTGTTGCCGAGCGGACGTGAAGCTTGTTGATCCCAGGGCGGGACTACGCTTCTGCGCGGCGCAGGGGCTCCCGGGAGCGCGCGCGGCCGGTTGCCTAGGCGACAGGAATTGGGGGCGGGGCTGCGCCGTGGCTCCTCCCCGGCCGCCGACCCCGCCTCCGGCAGCGCTGCGGCTGTGCTCGGGCGCGCGCTCCGGCGCCGGGGGAAGCGGCAGCGGGCGGGGAGCTGGGCGTGGAGGCGCGAGGGGCGGGGCTGGGCGGGCGGCACTGCGGCCCGCGGCTCGGGCGGCTCCGGTGGCTCTCGCTCCAGCTCGCCCTCAGTCTCTGCCGGCGCCCGCGGGGTCGCTTCGCTCCCCGGCTCGGCCCATGCCCAGGGCCGCTGCTCTCTCAGCTGCGGGCCCGCCCCCGGGGTCCGGGGGTCCGCCGCGGCCGTGAGGTGGGGGCGGCCGCCGAAGGCGGCGGGGCCGGCCGCGGGGCAGGGTCCGGGGCGCAGCGCGGCGGGCGGAGGTCTATGTCGCGGGCGGCGACGGCGGCAGCAGCCGCGGAGGGACGATGCGCGAGTACAAAGTGGTGGTGCTGGGCTCGGGCGGGGTAGGCAAATCCGCCCTGACCGTGCAGTTCGTGACCGGCACCTTCATCGAGAAATACGACCCCACGATCGAGGACTTCTACCGCAAGGAGATCGAGGTGGACTCGTCGCCGTCGGTGCTGGAGATCCTGGACACCGCGGGCACCGAGCAGTTCGCGTCCATGCGGGACCTGTACATCAAAAACGGCCAGGGCTTCATCCTCGTGTACAGCCTGGTCAACCAGCAGAGCTTCCAGGACATCAAGCCCATGCGGGACCAGATCATCCGAGTGAAGCGGTGAGCCGGCCGGGTGGCCCCACAGGGTGCTGGGGGCTTGGCGGCTGCAGCTCGGAGTCGCAGTCCGGCGGCCTGAGCTCCCCGCGCGGGCCGCGGGGAGGGAGCTGTGTAGGGAGAGGGCGTTGAGCTTTGGGCTTTACCATTCTCCGCTCCGCCCGAAGCTCAAATTTGAGTGCTTTGTCTCACAACTAAAATTTGGCATTCCTTTAACCCACGGCAGAGCCCTTTGTCTTTTGGATGTTGTTGGTAGTGCCGGTGCAGAACCCCAAAGGAAACAAAGTTTGAAACTTGCCGGGGTGGGGGGGGCGGGAGAGGGGTGGGTAAGTGCGTCGGGGAGAGGAGAGCTGTGCGAGTGGAGGTGAGACGTCTGCAGATAACACACACACACACACACACACACACACACACACACACACCCCTACCTTTGCAATGTTTGACAGCAAAATTTTCACACATGTATCCTGTAATGATGTCAGTTCGAGAAGAAGGAGACCTTTATCTTTTTAGAAAAGATTTAATGCTGCCAGGGCGTTTTGCAAAAATGAACTCTAGTTTAGTGCGAAACTTTAAAGACAGATTATCAAATTATTTGAAGACATCCTAACAGCTCAGTGGGGTTGCGAGAGTATTTGCATATGATAGTACAAATATGCCATTCACAGTAAAATAATGCATCTTAACTTTTTCCTTATTTAATCCATTCACTTTTATCCTCAGGCGGTGGGATGGGGTGGGGGTCAGAATGGAGGGATAAAAGCATTTCTCAAAACAAAATAGCAATTTCTTCAAAAGTGCGACTGAAGTATTAGCTAATTTAAAGTTTATGCAAATAAATTCCTTCCCGTTAAATTCCTAAAGTGTTTTGGAAATACTGTTGACCGCTTAAATGGTTTAAAATGTTTGTTTTCTCTTAAATTTACTGAATATTTTTCCCTATAATTTAAGCATCAGAAATGTAATAACATATTATTGTAGAGTTTTGGTAATTTTTTCTAATTATTCTTTAATTACATGTGACTGTTTCTTCTGGTCATTATTAATGTTGCCAACAATTTTAGTGTCATTTTTTTTTCCTGGCTTATTCTACCCATAGTTCTAAATGTGAAGATATTTACTAAAAGATAGGTGTGCTATAGACACAATCACATTATAAGTCAGTGTGAGTCTATTAATTTGAAAGAGCCAGGGCCAAGTCACTCATATTCAGGGGATGCTTACAATTCATTGCAAGTGATGGATAGTGCTACATATGAGATTAAAGGGAAGGTCCTTTCTCATTACTCCACCCGCAACTCATTGAGTATACACTCTTAACAGCAAAACTAAAATTTTGTATGTAAATTCTTGTGTTAAATTCCAAATTAAAACAGTGACTATTTCACGGTCTCTATTTTGTTCTCAAATCTGTACATCCGATAGCTTTTATTTCTCCATTCTCATTATCTTAAAGTTGTTTTGTAGTTAGATGAGCAATTTTGGTATCTATGTATATGATTTAAAGGAGCTACATTTAAGTAACTCAAATCCTTAATTATTATCCCCTTACCCCAGTACCACTCAATTAAAAAGAAAGAAGACTCAAGAATAGGTAGTCTCATTCATTGTCTCAGGTCAATTTAGACCAGATACATATATCAAATAATCCAAGTGAATGCCCCAGCTATCCCACCCTTCACATTTAAGTGCATACATAGTACATTATAAAGTGCATGTACAACCTGGATACAGAGCTAACTTGGCAGAAGCCTAGGGCAAAGAATATGGCAAAGTATTAGATAGCATGGTCCTTCTATTTTGGGTTTCTTGTAATATAGTGCAAATTACTTTTCTCAGTTGTAATAATGAAATAGTCTGTATTCTGTAATAATTTGCACTGTGATCCAGGAAAAGAAAATAGAGTAAAATTTACTTCCCAGATGCCACTTTACTCATTAGTCTTAGTTCTTTATGTTTAAAAGGCCATTGAGTAGCTGAATTAGAGTTCAAAACTGTTTTCACTGGAATTTAACTACTGTATACTCAAGAACACTCAGGCCCTTACTTCCATGTCCTCTTTTTTTATACCTACCCTAACCTCATCTTGTGGCTTCTCAATCTAACATTTTAGAAGCTTTATTTTTGGGGTTCTGGAGATTGAACCATGGGCACTCTATCACTGAGCTACATCCTCACTCCTTATTTTTTATTTTGAGACAGGTTCTCCCTAAGTTATCCAGGTTGTCCTTGAACTTGTGATCCTAAAGCTTCAGCACCATGTTCCCACAACCTAGTCCCTGGGATTATGGGCATGCGCTGCTGCACCCATCTTAGAAACAATTTAATGGGAGAGAGGATTGGCTATAAATGATTTATATTCTAATACAATCTAAAAGTAAGGCATATATTAAGCTAGCGAGCGTTCTCTAACTCCTCTCACTGAAAAAGAATAAAACATGATTTTCAAATGGGGGAATTTTGTATTTTGCGAGCCAATTTTTAAACTTCCCAATTGCTATAGTAGGTATTCAGTAATTGCTTCCTTTGCTCATTGTGTACCAACTAGCTGCTTTATATACTATATGAAGTAGTTGTTAGAGGACATTTAATATCACCATAATGCAGATGATGTAACTGAAGTGCCAAGAGATTTGATAACTTATCTAAGACCACTCACTGATGGAAAGGAGATTAAAACCAATATCTTTATGAATCAATGTATCCTTTTCTGTGTTAGTTTGTCTTTCAACTTGGTGTCTGCTGGCCAAATCAGCTCCTAACCTTTGGTCTCTAGGACAGCACTGTTTGATAAAAACACAATGTGAACACATAGGTAATCTAAAAATTTCTAGTAGTTGATTAAAAACCTAGGTAAAACTAATCTTAATAATCATTTTATTTAACCCACTATATCCAAAATATGGTGATTTTAACATTATCAATATTCAAAAATTTATTAAAGATATCTTTAAATACTAAGTCTTTGAAATATGGTGATACTTACAGCTCAACTTGATAAAACTAGCCTCTTTTCAAATGTTTAGTTGCCTCATGTGACCATAGGCCATTCTGCATAGCACAAGTCTAAGGTATATATATTATCGAGAAATGCTTGCATATTTCTATAAGCCCCAGTTTCTGTGTTTATGAAATGTAGAATAGCAGGCACCTCTCAGAATTAAATGAGATAATGTGTATTAAGGTGCTCAACAAACTAGTTGGTACACAGAAATTGCTCAAAAAATGCTAGCTGTCTTTTTGTTACTTACTTTGTTACCCTAACTTCTTTAACTTTTTTTCTGTGATATAATTGTAATTTTAGAAGAAATAACTTAAACTTGTAATTGCATTTTGAAATGTAGAATAGCAGGCACTTATTATACCACTAAAATATTTTAGGGAAACTGAGACCAAAGGACAATACAAACAATCTTCTTTTCAAATCCTCACCAGTATAGACAGGTGAGGATAAAAACAATTAGAATTAAAGCAATCTTTGGCAAGAATTTTGTTGGTATCTCTTAAAACTTATATTGTCTTATGAGGGATCCTATGAAAAAATGTTCATTCAAGAGAATGAACATTTAACATAGCCAGACATTGGATTATTATTAATTGGAATATTTTGCTTTTAAAAAACTAAAACTGGCCCACATTTCCTTAAGTATTAAAGGTGCATACACATACATATGTGTGTGTGTGTGTACATGATCTCTTGGCAAAGCCAGGTTGACCAGCTGAAAATGGCCATATGTATAAATTTATATGCTTTTTAAACTTGACTTGAGGTGAGATCACACACACAAAGAAGAGTGATGGGGTGCAGAAGTGTTTTAATTGTAATAAAATTAGAATTCTTTGTGATTTCAGAATTACTTCTTTATTACTCATCCCAGGGTCAGCCATGGATCTAACTTGAAATCTTGGGACATTCTATTCAAGGACTGTTCTTAGGATAAACCCTAGAAACCTTCAGTAGGACCTTTAAAGCCCAGCATGCTCCTGTCCCTCCTGGCCTTTGCAGCCACACCTCTTAGAGTCTTCATTGTACTCTAGCACCTTGACCTTATCCTTGAAAGTGACTTTCTCTTGGCTCTCCTTCCTGTAGAACTCTTCCACCTCTTTGCAGAGTTAATTCCTAATCATTCTTTCACCCCTGCTTAACAGGTTCCCCCATTTAAGGAAGCCTTCTGTTGCTTCCCAAACTGAATTAATCCCTTTCCTGTCTTCCCACACTAGACTAACTTCACACCTCACCCTTCCCTCAGCCACACAGACTTTAAATATCAGTGTACCCTGTACTCCCCCAACCTTTTTTTGTGTACTCCTCAACATTTACTTATGTACTGGTGTGATGATTTATATACTGTCAGTCTTTCTCACAAAACACTTAAGTCCATGTGGCTAGCACAGCTTCTAGCATGTAGGAAACGATCAAGAAAAATATGTTGAAAAAGAATGTTTGGAAAGAAGAGTGTTTGTATTGTCCTTTGGTCTCAGTTTCCCCCAAATGTTTTAGTGGTATAGGTGGAGGGGATGGTTTTTTGAAGTTGATTTTGCAGCTGGAGGAGTTGATCTTTCTTAGCTAACTTTCCTGGAGAGTACTTCTAGTTGGGCAGCAAGGGAATAGGAAAGTTTAAGGTGAACCTGCAAGAATCAGGAGCATGATATCTTCCAGATGGAAGATATGGCACGGAAAATGCATAGACTATGTTATTTGGATGATAAATAGACCAGATTGGCTAAACTAGAAGTTTTTATAGAAGTGTGAGGGGAGGTAAGGGGAAATTTTTTAAAGTTAAATTATAGAAGGTTAAAGACTTTAGACTCAATCCTGCTGTCAAGGACTATACTCAAAATGTTAGAGAAATAGTAGTGGGGAGTTAATCTAATAGATGACTTCATGGAAATAGCTCTGTTTTATAACAGGAGGAATCATTGTATATATTGTGGTTATCTATATGAAGTATAAAGATTCTGAATTAGCATGGTGTCTGAAGGATCAGAAGGGAAGATGCAAGTAA